TACTAATATACCCCCTACTCCACTTACAGATGGACCAATATACCCCCTACTCCACTTACAGATGTACTAATATACCCCCATACTCCACTTACAGATGTACCAATACACCCCCTACTCCACTTACAGATGTACTAATATATCCCTATACTCCACTTACAGATGTACCAATATACCCCCATACCCCACTTACAGATGTACTAATATACTCCCTACTCCACTTACAGATGTACTAATATATCCCTCTTACAGATGGACCAATATACCCCCCATCCTCCCCTTACAGATGGACCAATATACCCCCCATACTCCACTTACAGATGTACTAATATATCCCTATACTCCACTTACAGATGTACCAATATTCCCCCATACTCCACCTATAGATGTACTAATATACCCCATAGTCCACTTACAGATGGACCAATATCCCCCCTACCCCACTTACAGATGTACTAATATACCCACTACTCCACTTACAGATGGACCAATATGCCCCCTACTCCACTTACAGATGTACCAATATAGCCCCATACTCCACTTACAGATGTACTAATATACCCCCTACTGCACTTACAGATGGACCAATATACCCCATGCCCCTCTTACAGATGGGCCAATATACCCCCATACTCCACTTATAGATGTACTAATATACCCAATACTCCACTTACAGATGGACCAATATCCCACAGATGGACCAATATACCCCATACCCCACTAACAGATGTACTAATATACCACAATACTCCACTTACAGATCTACCAATATACCCCCATACTCAACTTACAGATGGACCAATATACCCCGTACCCCACTAACAGATGTACTAATATACCAGATAGACCAATATACCCCCATACTCCACTTATAGATGTACTAATATACCCCATACTCCACTTCCAGATGGACCAATATACCCCATACTCCCCTTACAGATGGACCAATATACCCCCATAATCCACTTACAGATGTACCAATACACCCAATACTCCACTTACAGATGTACCAATACTCCCCATACTTCACTTACAGATGTACCAATATACCCCATACTCCACTTACAGAGGTACTAATATATCCCCATACTCCACTTACAGATGTACCAATCCACCCCATACTTCACTTACAGATGTCCCAATATCCCCCATACTTCACTTACAGATGTACCAATATACCCCTATACCCCACTTACAGATGTACTAATATAACCCCTACTCCACTTACAGATGTACTAATATGCCCCCTACTCCACTTACAGATGTACCAATATACCCCAGACTCCACTTACAGATGTACCAATACTCCCCATACTTCACTTACAGATGTACCAATATACCCCAGACTCCACTTACAGATGTACCAATACCCCCCCTACTCCACTTACAGATGTACCAATACCCCCCATACTTCACTTACAGATGTACCAATATCCCCCCATACTCCACTTATAGATGTACTAATATACCCCATAGTCCACTTACAGATGGACCAATATCCCACAGATGGACCAATATACCCCATACTACTTACAGATGGACCAATATGCCCCCTACTCCACTTACAGATGGACCCAATATACACTATACTCCACTTACAGATGGACCAATATACCCCATACCCCACTAACAGATGTACTAATATACCACCATACTCCACTTACAGATCTACCAATATACCCCCATACTCAACTTACAGATGGACCAATATACCCCCATTCTCCACTTACAGATGGACCAATATACCCCCATAATCCACTTACAAATGGACCAATATACCCCAATACTCCACTTACAGATGTACCAATATACCCTATACTCGACTTACAGATGGACCAATATACCCCCATACTCTACTTACAGATGTACCAATATACCTTATACTCCACTTACAGATGGACCAATATACCCCCATACTCCACTTACAGATGGACCAATATACCCCCATACTTCACTTACAGATGTACCAATATACCTTATACTCCGATGTACCAATATAACCCATACTCCACTTACAGATCTACTAATATACACCCTACTCCACTTACAGATGGACCAATATACCCCATACTCCACTTATAGATGGACCAATATACCCCCATACCCCACTTACAGATGTACTAATGTATCCCATACTCCACTTACAGATGGACCAATATACCCCCATACTCCACTTACAGATGGACCAATATACCCCATACTCCACCTACAGATGTACCAATACACCCCATACTCCACTTACAGATGGACTAATATACCCCATACTCCACTTACAGATGGACCAATATACCCCATACTCCACTTACAGATGGACCAATATACCCCATACTCCACTTACAGATGGACCAATATACCCCCATACTCCACTTACAGATGGACTAATATACCCCCATACTCCACTTACAGATGGACCAATATACCCCCTACTCCACTTACAGATGGACCAATTTACTCCCCTACTCCACTTACAGATGGACCCAATATACCCTATACTCCACTTACAGATGGACCAATATACCCCCATACTCCACTTACAGATGGACCAATATACCCTATACTCCATTTACAGATGGACCAATATATCCCCTACTCCACTTACAGATGTACCAATATACCCCATACTCCATTTACAGATGGACCAATATACCCCATACTCCACTTACAGATGGACCAATACACCCCATACTCCACTTACAGATGTACCAATATATCCCATACTCCACTTGCAGATGGACCAATATACCCCCTACTCCACTTACAGATGGACCAATATACCCCCCTACTCCACTTACAGATGGACCAATATACCCCCTACTACACTAACAAATGAACCAATATACCCCACATTGCACTTACAGATGGACTAATATACCCCCTACTCCACTTACAGATGGACCAATATACCCCCATACTCCACTTACAGATGGACCAATATACCCCCTACTACACTAACAAATGAACCAATATACCCCACATTGCACTTACAGATGGACCAATAACTTGTCTAATACAGGATATGATAAAAAACAGTCTTGTGTCCATTTTGTTTTACCAAAGGGTTGCGGGTTTGAGTCACGGCACTGTGTTCCAGTGTGACACCGCTTGTTCCAGTCTACTCAGCTGTAAATGAGTACGTGGTTGGGCAGTGCTAGAATTGTTGAATGTTAGCTGTGAGTGTTGAAATGGCAGCACCGGCTGTATGCTCCCCTGGGAGTTGAGAAAGATATTGGCTAGTTGCAAAGGCCCTAAAACAACAGATAATAATTTGTGAACCACTTTGAGACGACCTACTAAACTAGGTTGTACCTCAAGTTTTTATTGTTATACAACCTGACTGACAATACATCCATCATCCGTCTACAACAGAAATCTTAAAGGTGTTGTCTTACATTAGGAGAAAAGTCTGAGGTGTCAACATTATTTTCTAGGAGGGTGGCTTCTATCATTGTGTCCATTTGCCCATCTTGTCCAATTTCACGGATCAACACTCTGAAAGACAAGGTTATAAATTTTGAACTATTAACATTGCACACAACTATGTTAGTCTAAGTATCATCACAGCACCTAAGCTACACGGAGAAGTATCATTACAGTACCTAAGCTACACGGAGAAGTATCATTACAGTACCTAAGCTACACAGACAAGTATCATTACAGTACCTAAGCTACACGGACAACTATCATTACAGTACCTAAGCTACACGGAGAAGTATCATTACAGTACCTAAGCTACACGAAGAAGTATCATTACAGTACCTAAGCTACACGGCCAAGTATCATTACAGTACCTAAGCTACACGGCCAAGTATCATTACAGTACCTAAGCTACACGGAGAAGTATCATTACAGTCCCTAAGCTACACGGACAAGTATCATGACAGTACCTAAGCTACACGGACAAGTATCATGACAGTACCTAAGCTACACGGACAAGTATCATTGCAGTACCTAAGCTACACGGACAAGTATCATTACAGTACCTAAGCTACACGGAGAAGTATCATCAAGGTACCTAAGCTACAGATATCAGATTAAAACAAGGTGAATTTTGAGAGTGGATTTTTGGTTATTAAACCTCCATCAGATTGACTCCACTGTGCTTTGCACTCACTCACCCTTCAGTAAACATTGAGCCCGGAGGTCACTCACTCACCCTTCAGTAAACATTGAGCCCGGAGGCCACTCACTCACCCTTCAGCAAACATTGAGCCTGGAGGCCACTCACTCTCCCTTCAGCAAACATTGAGCCCGGAGGCCACTCACTCACCCTTCAGTAAACATTGAGCCCGGAGGCCACTCACTCCCCCTTCAGTAAACATTGAGCCCGGAGGCCACTCACTCCCCCTTCAGTAAACATTGAGCCCGGAGGTCACTCACTCACCCTTCAGCAAACATTGAGCCCGGAGGCCACTCACTCACCCTTCAGCGAACATTGAGCCCGGAGGCCACTCACTCACCCTTCAGCAAACATTGAGCCCGGAGGCCAGTCAAGGATTCTGGCAGCATACAACACATTCTTGTAGTCATCTGGCCTTTTAAGAAAATCTGTTTTAAAGGAAAGTATATGAGTTTTAACAAAGCAATATTGCAACCGAGTTGCAGAATTACTTATTTTGAGTAATAATCTACAACAGCAGATTTTGAAACTTCAAATAGTTAAACCAATACAAGAGGCCCAGAGGGCCTGTATCGCTCACCTGGATGTGTTTCAAGTACTTGATATGAGGTAAAGATGTACATGTATACATATGAAATTTCAGAAAAATCCATCCAGTATTTCTGGAGATATAGTGTGAACAAACTTCTATTAAAGTCAAAATCCAAGATGGATTATCAGGCCAGGCGAGCTATTATAAATAAATACTAAAAAAAAAATCACAATAAGACCTGATATAAAATATACGCATTGTGCTAGTGGAAGAATACACCCTGGTATTGATCATAGGTACTTAACAATTTCAATTAGATATTGCATTTTACTTATAATGAATTCATTAAATCACAAAAATGTTTTTTTACCAGTGTGATGTGTTACAATGTTATTAAAATGTACTAACGTTGTGATGTAGTATCACAAAAACGAGCACTGAATCCCAAACGAGTATGAATTCCCATAAGACAAGGCTAGATATTATTGTTAATGTAGAGGAGAAGTTCCTTACATCATTAGAGCAAAATTACCCTCTTTGACCATGCTCACACCACCTCTTCCCCCTCCCCCAGGGGTCAGGCCCTATATTTTTGTAAATTTTGAATCCCATCACGTAGTTCAACTTAGAGAAGTCACTTAGGCATCATGGCCAAATTACCCCTTTTCAGCTTGATCAACATTGAGGCCAGCCCCTTTATTTGTACAATTTTGAATCATCAACACCTTAGGATGTTTCCAGTCAGTTTATGGTGATATCCGTCACTTGGTTTCAGAGGAGAAATTGCTTAAAGCTTTACTTTAAATTCCTACCAACTATAAGAGTCAAGCCAACTTTGGTTCAACTCGTATTAAAGCTTTACTTTACACACAAACAATGTACTATTAAACCTGTTGCAATATTTCGTGACCGACTGGTCAACACAAAACTCTCCACACTGCGATCAGTTTAAATAGTCACAACACAAACACTTCCAAACGAGAGAATTGCTACTTTTACAGTACAATAGGTATAGAACCTAGTGAAATGTTTACCTTGAGGACAACTTTCTCTTGATACCAGTATCCTTGGCACTCTGCTGTCATTTGGACTAAACAACACACGGTCACCCGTCTTGTTTTTTTTTATGTGACCCGAACAGATACGATTATGTTTCCTCTTAAGCACTGTCACTACCTGTAAAAATGAGATTTGTTATAGTGACTTACCTACACTACTCAATTCAGTGCTATCCTGTCACATGTTCAGGTATCAATTCAGTGCTATCCTGTCACATGACCAGGTATCACTTCAGTGCTATCCTGTCACATGATCAGGTATCATTTCAGTGCTATCCTGTCACATGACAAGGTATCATTTCAGTGCTATCCTGTCACATGATCAGGTATCAATTCAGTGCTACCCTGTCACATGTCCAGATATCATTTAAGTGCTATCCTGTCACATGACCAGGTATCATTTAAGTGTTATCCTGTCACATGACCAGGTAGCATTTAAGTGCTATCCTTTCACATGACCAAGTAGCATTTAAGTGCTATCCTGTCACATGACCAAGTAGCATTTAAGTGCTATCCTGTCACATGACTAGGTATCATTTCAGTGCTATCCTGTCACATGACCAGGTAGCATTTAAGTGCTATCCTGTCAAATGACCAAGTAGCATTTAAGTGCTATCCTATCACATGACCAGGTATCATTTAAGTGCTAAAATGTCACATAAACATTGATTATATGCTACTTTTTGGTTGAGATAATGTTGACCAAACAGAATTTTTAAGGTTTCCTTACCTTAAAATTCAAAAAAAAAAAAAAAAAAAAATGGAAAAAGAACTTCTTTGTTGACATATGACCTTCAAGTATTTACATATCTGTGAGTTACTACTTACCTGTGACATTCTATTAACCTGTGACATTCTATTTACCTGTGACATTCTATTTACCTGTGACATTACCTGTGACATTCTATTTACCTGTGACATTCTATTTACCCTTGTCATTCTATTTATTACCTGTGTCGTTCTATTTATCTGTGTCATTCTATTTACCTGTGACATTATATTTACCTGTGACATTCTATTTACCCGTGTCATTCTATTTACCTGCGACATTCTACTTACCTGTGACATTCTGTGACATTCTATTTACCTGTGACATTCTGTGACATTCTACTTACCTGTGTCATTCTATTTACCTGTGACATTTTATTTACCTGTGTCATTCTATTTACCCGTGTCATTCTATTTACCTGTGACATTCTGTGACATTCTATTTACCTTTGTCATTCTATTTACCTGTGACATTCTATTTACCTGTGTCATTCTATTTACCTGTGACATTCTATTTACCTGTGACAATCTATTCACCTGACATTCTATTTACCTGTGACATTCTATATATCTGTGGCACTCTATATACCTGTGACATTCTATATATCTGTGGCACTCTATATCCCTGTGACATTCTATATATCTGTGGCACTCTATATACCTGTGACATTCTATTTATCTGTGGCATTCTATTTACCTGTGACATTCTATTTACCTGTGGCATTCTATTTACCTGTGGCATTCTATTTATCTGTGACATTCTATTTACCTGTGACATTCTATTTACCTGTGTCATTCTATTTACCTGTGGCATTCTATTTACCTGTGACATTCTATTTATCTGTGACACTCTATATACCTGTGCAGAAAGCAATGTTTACCTTTCCCATACGGTGAACTTTCTTTTGGGGAGAGCTACTTGTAGCAGATGTATCTTTCACAGACACGTCACTGCCTTTGGGTGTCCCTGGGGTTATCATGGTAGTCTGATCCTCTTCAATAATCACATCTGGTGTTTCTGAATCACTGCCCTCTCCTGCCAATGAGCTGGCCACCACATATTTGTCTGTATTTATATCCAGGGCTTGACACACAGATTCCAGCTGTTTTATGCTGTCTGGTTTTTCTGTTTCCTTTTTAAAATAAGAAGCATATCAAAGGTGAAAAGACACCGACTTCAAGTGGTTACACTGTCATTTTAACAAGTCTTTGAATGTTTTTACATATATTTATATTTTTTTTATATTTAAAGATAGCATTTCATGACCCAAGTCAGGCACAGTAAACAGTCATAACACTGTAGACAGTAGGGAATGAGATCTGACTGCCCCACCTGACATTTCACCTTCACATACAATAATCCATACAAAACTGTAGGTAACAAGGTATATGAGAGAAGGATGGACACAGTACATGGTCCCGATGGACGGAGTACATGGTCCCGATGGACAGAGTACATGGTCCCGATGGACAGGGTACATGGTCCCGCTGGACAGGGTACATGGTCCCGATGGCCAGGGTACATGGTCCCGATGGACGGGGTACATGGTCCCGATGGACAGGGTACATGGTCCCGATGGACAGAGTAAAGGTCCCGATGGACAGAGTACATGGTCCCGATGGACAGAGTACATGGTCCCAATGGACAGAGTACAGGTCCCAATGGACAGAGTACATGGTCCCAATGGACAGAGTACAGGTCCCGATGGACAGAGTACATGGTCCCAATGGACAGAGTACATGGTCCTAATCCCTTTGATTACTTCCCATCTGCAATAATGATTCTGTAACGGAATCCTTGCGCTATCTTTTGACCATTTGACAACTTTTTGCTTCGTAGCTGACGCGGTACACCAACACCTCCCATGGCTAGTCATTTTGTTTACAATGAAATGGTGTGCTATGCGCATGCCTTGTAGCAGGGGAATCATTGATAAAACGTTGGTCACAGACAGGTAGAAATCCCTATAACTTTCTTAAAAGTTATTCATTTTTATGAATATATATCAGCCAAATCCAATTGTTATTTTCCATATGGAGACTCACTCGATATGTTTTATAATATGTAGTATTTGTAAAAAAGACACAAAATAAACGATTTTTTTTTTAATTTTTTCCCCTACCTGATCATTGCTCCAGGAGATGTCGGTGTAGGTGACATCCCTGTTTTACAACAGAAATCACTTTCCATTTCAATACTTAAAGAATCTACATGTTTTTACCCGTGTCAAATTTAGTACTAGGACAAACGACACAACTGCTATCTACTGATTTTAACTACAGGTAGCAAAATAATATGGACAACTTCAATGGAGAGATTTAACAACCATCATCAACATGAAAACTTTCATCACAACATGGAGTTTTAAGAAGCCCAATGGACTATTTCTACACATGAGACTTTCCACTTTTACAGTTCTGTGATTGGTATCATAGTGCTGTCACTGTATGAAACCAAAACATCCCGATCAGTCTCGGTTAAACCCCCGGTTACCACTGAAATATAGAAGTTGTACCTGCTCAAAGCCTTTGATGATTTCAACTGCGACCAAGTCTCCAGACAGTGCAGGTTTTCTCAGTTCCAAACCTTCGATCAACACATCTGAACCCCCATCCTGTGTAAACAGAAAATAGACAGTGATATGGTGTGACTTAAGTGGGACTGTGTAATAAAGTGAAATCTTAATCCCATAAAACAGTCAACACTTAACTCATGTAATGGTCTCTCCAGCTACTTGTAACTGATATACCAAGTAAAGCACATCAGTCTGTGATGTCATCCTACACGTTACTAAAACACCTAGCACCATATCAGTCTGTGATGTCGTCCTACACGTTACTAAAACACCTAGCACCCTGTCAGTCTGTGACGTCGTCCTACACGTTACTAAAACACCTAGCACCATATCAGTCTGTGATGACGTCCTACATGTAACTAAAACACCTAGCACCATAACAGTCTGTGACGTCGTCCTACATGTAACTAAAACACCTAGCACCATATCAGTCTGTGACGTCGTCCTACATGTAACTAAAACACCTAGCACCCTGTCAGTCTGTGATGTCGTCCTACACTTTGAAACCCAACGTGTGAGACACATTGTTTAATCAAGGATGTAGGAACACCAGTAACGTTCGTTTAAGCTAAAATCCAGCACAGGTACATGTCATCGTTATGCAAAGTTACGTAATTCAGTGCTTCCCATACTCAAGACCTCCGATCATCAAAGCATTTGAATCACCACTAGCTTACATAATAAATCTTGTGTATGAAACATGAAGTTAATGGGGCAAAAATGTAGGTGATGTTTGTTAATAGACACACTTTATGACTTACCGGATGAGACAAGTAAGAGTGTTTGTAATCCCTCGCATTGACTCTTAATTCACCCTGTAAATAAAGAACTCAAATGTATCAACAATATCGCTCAAAGCTGTTTGATCCTTAAGCTTGATATATCCAAAATATTTTTATAACTGCTGTCATAGCTATTTATATACCGGTAATCAAGTTATGACAGGGTATGTAAACCAGGACTTTCATCCGACACTTGGAAACATCTTCCACTCCTTGGTAGGGCTGTCACAATATATCAGAAAACAGGTATATATCGCCATACACGGGTATATCGTATTGTACCACAATACAGAGATGAAATATTACTGTATCGCAATATTTTATTAAAAGCTTATTTTTAGGTGTATATCTCATTCTGCTTGATAATTTAACTTTGCAAATTACTACAAATTCTAACAGATATGCCAATAAGCATAAAACAGGCTTTTAATAGTTCAAGTTTTGTAATCGATGGTTGGTTTGACAAAAATCTTAAATCTATGTGACCCATATTATATATGATTAGGCTTGATAACATTCTGACAAGAACTTATCATAAAATCGAGCACATCTTTCCTATGACAATATATTGCAATACGTATCGCAATATATTCATTCTGTATTGCAATATATTGTGATACATTCTTGGTGTATTGCGACACCCCTACTCCTTGGTATGAAAACAAATGTCTATTTGAAATTTCAGGGACCAAGGTGATTTCACTGCTTAAAGGTCCAATGACTGTATCATAGTTTATCTGTATATTCATAGTTTACCTGTATATTCATAGTTTACCTGTATAATCATTTTTACTTGTATAATCATAGTTTACCTGTATAATCATAGTTAACCTGTATAATCATAGTTAACCTGTATTATCATAGTTAACCTGTATTATCATAGTTAACCTGTATAATCATTTTTACTTGTATAATCATAGTTTACCTGTATAATCTTAGTTTACCTGTAGAATCATAGTTTACCTGTATAATCATAGTTAACCTGTATAATCATAGTTAACCTGTATAATCATAATTAACCTGTATTATCATAGTTAACCTGTATAATCATAGTTTACCTGTATAATCATTTAGTTTATCAGTATAATCATAGTTTACCTGTGTAATCAAAGTTTACCTGCCATTAAGGAGATAACCTGTTTTGTGGTTTTCTGGTGTATAGTTTATAATTACCTGTATAAAGCGTCCAGACTTCAGCCCAGCTTCTATTTCTTCCATGGTCAATTGTTGCTGCTATCATAATGAAATACAAGATAATGTTTAGTACGTGAACTAGTTCTATGTTCTGTGTAATACAAGATAATGTTTAGTACAAGAACTAGTTCTATGATCGGTGTAATACAAGATAATGTTAAGTACATGAACTAGTTCTATGTTCCGTGTAATACAAGATAATGTTTAGTACATGAACTAGTTATATGATCTGTGTAATACAAGATAATGTTTAGTACATGAACTAGTTCTATGATCGGTGTAATACAAGATAATGTTTAGTACATGAACTAGTTCTATGTTCTGTGTAATACAAGATAATGTTTAGTACATGAACTAGTTCTATGTTCCGATTTGAACACTGTCGCAAATATTATTTTGTACATCTTCTTTTTGACTTGGTAAACTTAATTAGGAACATTTCCCCATTCTTAAATGTTTCCCTTGCAGGACTTATTAAAACCAAAACAGATGATAAGTGAGTTTTAGTTTAATCCCTCCCAAAAATTAGAGAAGTAATAAGGATAAATATTCTATTTTATTTTATTTATGTTTCCTTCAAAAGTTGATATGCTGTGTGTACAAATAAAAATCTAGATTCAGTGATCCTTTGTCAATCTATGCATTAAGCAACAGATGTTTGATAACCTTGTTACTGGTAAGGGAAATAAATCCCTTGTAAGTGAGTCAGCATTAAAAATGTACTGGTCGCAACTGAAAACACATTCAAATTGACATAACATAATATATACATGCATGATCAATTCCCTCTATAGATGCAAGATCAATTCCTTCATTTTTAAAAGAGTTTTTAGAAGGGGAGATAACTTGTACAGTTACAGAAAATAAATGTATCACTCAGTCCTCTGTCAGTGTATAGTTTACCTTATATTTACCACTTAAATTTCATATAACAAAATTTTGGATTACCTGGAAGGCAGGTGCATTGGTACAGGCCGTATCCTTTCCACTTTTGGGTTTTCCACTGGCATGTTTACGTCGGGGTGTCTTGCTTTGAGACGTTCCCTTTTCTTGTGATATTGCAGCTCCAGATGCCTGATGACTCTTGCCTTTCATGGACTTATTTCCACTTCTCTGACCTTGATGAGTTGGACCATCACCGATAGGATCTGAATTCTTATTGTCCGCAGATCTGTTTCCTGACAAACCTTTTTTTGAAGAATTTATCCCTTTTGCAGAACTTGTCCGTTTAGACATGACAGCAGCTATAGTGGAGTGCCTCCTTGAACAGTCACATTTACAAACCAACGGTTGAGAAGTTTTTGACACACAGTGCTTGGCGCTCAACAACCTCTTTGATTGTATGTGGTTATGATTTTTGTTGAGAAGTGACTGAAACAATTAATAAAAGAATAATTGTATAAATGTGATCAGTACAAAAATTTCCCTTCAAAGATTACATTCCAAACAGTCCTAAAAGACTCCTACAGTACTGGTTTTTATATAAATAATTACAATAAAACAGTAGCATATATATATATATTTATCCTGCCTCAGGCAAAAATCCTGTAGTCCTATTGGTTAAAACGACGTCACATGATATCCAGTATATTTTCATATTAGGTCAGTAGAATCTCACATTAGGTGAGTACGAAAGAGTTATCGTTCTTTGCCCATAAGAGTCAACTTGTAACAAGATGGCGACCAAGCGGTTTGTGCATACGACAGCTGATGAAATGTTAACAAAAATGTAAACAAACAGTTTTTTTATCCAAAGGGCCTTCGACGGGATAAATTTGTTACACAGTTTGTTAGTGACCTAATACGGAAAAATATTGGGTCTAAAAGAAACTTGTATCGGGCGAGGCAATCTTTTAGACCCAATAGGTCACTAACAAACTGTGTAACGAATAATATACTGATAGTACAATATAGTGGTAGGTAACATGCATACATACACCATCTATGTATTAAATATTGACAGCCTGTTGGAAAGATCAAACCATTGATGTACAGTAATAACAGGCCATCAGTGTTTCCTAGTTTTGATAGTGTCACCTCATCCTATTTTCATCTTGCATTCGGGGTTTTTGGTGCGCTTTATATAGAAATAGACTATAGCATCATAAACCCTTTCTCTGAAATAGACTATAGCATCATATGATGTATTTGTGACATCATACTGACGTCTTGGTCTGTGAATTGCATATGTAAACACTGTTTGAAAAAATTGGTCGGAAGAACAATGAATTCAGCTTTGAGGGAAAGGAAATGATCTTGAAAAGTAAAATTGGGGCGAATATTTGGTATACCTAGGACACCAAAGGCTAGCACTTTGGCAAAGTTTCATCAAACGGAAAGTGTTGAAAACATACCACGAAGTGTCAAAGACATTACGGCCCTTGTTCGGCTTTTGAAACAAAAACAAAAAATCTAATTTAATGGACAGAACTAACACATAAAATGAGGGGCAGCACAGACGTTTCTGTAATAAATACTGTTTGGATCGGAGGAAATTACATCAAGAAGGATATCAATGACAAATTTCTAAAAAGCAAGCGTCAGGCCAGGAAGTAAACAAAACAAAAAGTGAAGTCAACAGCCCTATCTTGTGTGGGAATGATGTCCCACGCCGTAAGGAATTCTAATCACTAAATATGGCATGTATATATGCATGACTGTAGATACCTGAATTCACTTATACAATGGTTTGTAGTGACTCACTGACTGTTCATGTACATAATTGAAACCCAAATTCAAATTTATAGCATGTACGTGGTACGTGAATATAAGCTTCAAGATCAGGTTCCCAGCTTTTTACTGTGACATGAAATGTGCGTCTGAGATATTGATATATATATATATTTGTAGTGGAACTGGACTGGGTCTATCGTCGGTGACCAGATAGCTCAATTGGTAGAGCCTCCATCTAGAGTTCGGAGGGTCCCGGGTTCGAACCCCGGTCTTGCCGTGCATTTTTCCTCTCCTGTTACATATTTATAACATGAATGTTTTTTGAAACTTTCAGCATTGTTTATCTGATCATGATTCCTCTGTCATCACCTAGGATATAACAGATATAGCACATGGAAAGAAGCAACACTTTGACATCACGGTAATAACAGATATCCCTTAATCCCCACGGTAGAAGAACAATTTTAAATGTTTTACCTCTAGTAATGTTTCATGCTAGTAGGCCAAGAAAATGTGATTGTATCACTTATAATGTGTAAATATTTCTTACCATACATTGAGTAACGGAATATAGCATAGAAATTGTGCAGTCTGGCACTGAATAAAGTACTCGATCCGGATAAAGGGGTCACAAAGCAGATATGCTTAACAACGACCGACGACAGGTAAACAGGTAAACAAATGCAGGTATGAACGGCATTCACATAAGTAACAGCTGATCAGCTCTGTGGCAGCCACCATGAAAGTCAGATTGGCCCAGATTTATCCTGTGGCAGACTAAGGATTAAGGTCCTATCCTAGTCTTGCTCCTTACGCTCGAAGGATAAGATATTGAAATGGCACCTCCATCGGGGTCATGCCAATATAATACCCCTGAGCATCCATGGCATTTGTGGTGAATTTTGGGTAGAGTTATCTCCCTTAGACCGATAACTGCGCCGCCAACCTGGATGTGACATCTCGGCGCGGTCTCTTTATTTCTTGACATCGAACCAAACACACGCGAGTGATTTTCCTCCACCTTGTTACTTGATTTCAGGAGCTAAGAGCAGTTACAACTACTTGTTGTGACGATGTGTTACAAACAGACACCGAATTCACGACACATTGTTACATCCTTTCCATGCAATCAGATTTCGATGATGTGATAAGTTATACCTCAAGGACGCTCAACACACAATATTTACATTTTTAGTCAATCATGAGTAATCTATTTACCTTGGCAAACACAAATGATTGTTAGTACAATTATAGTGATGAACTTCTCTTGGTCCATTGATGATGTGGGCACACTTCTACTTCTACTTCTACCATCTGATGACCTACTTCAGCATAGTGAAGATCATGACATATATAGGTGTGCATACCTGCTAAATGACCCGCATCTTGCGGGTCACACCCACAAAATTAACCTATCACCCACAACCAACTCATGACGCGTGCGGGTCATACAAATCTCCCGCATTTCGTCCACATGACCCGGAATCACCTGCCTCCGCGCTCGTATTACTATCTCCCTATTTCCGGAAATGCTCCATTCGTGTGTCTCGGAGGTTTAGCATTCAGGTATGGGTCAAGTCTGTACACAATTCGAAATGTTTTCACAATGGCGGTCTCTCTTTCGTAGACAAGGCAAATTTGAAAGGTGAGTACTGTTTACTACAGTATTACAACAGTGCATGGAATCCCGATCGTAGTACTTTCACTTCAGATGCAAAACCATAATCCGGACTGCGTTAAACGTTAAAAAAAAATGAGTAGGAATGTCTTCTATAACAATACTTCGTGGAGAAAATGATTTGAGTGGCTTCCTAAAAAAAAATTGAGCCTGATCGATCATTCTTATTGTAAACTGTACTCTACTGTATACCTAAATTCTTTCGGCAGGTTCAGGTGCTCTTTATTACATCAGCAGACATACGTGAACGATTTTCACGAACTGTGGTTATAAACGCAAACTCGTTATTTAGTAGCTTAAATTCTGAGCACATTACTCTCAACGGCTGATCATAATTATTTAAATTTACCAAAATCTGCATGATAATGCTTCCCCGGTATCGATCGCGAGATTGCTTTAAAATTTGTTGCAGTCGTACAAATTTGAGTGTACCAAGATATTATTATACCAATATTATAAATACCTGCATGTATTTAACATCAAATGCATATTTTATTTTTTCCAGTTTCCAACCTGCAGGCAGCGAGATTCCCAATGTAGCGGTTGGCAACGAAACGGGCAGCCCTGCGCTGTACCATCTCTAGCTTGTCTACATCTTTTTTTAAGTAAGGGTCCCATACTGGGCTAGCGTATTCAACCTGAGGGCGGACCAGGGACTTAAAGGCCTTTTGTTTGATGTTAGAGTATGAAATTTTGAGATTGCGCCTCAGGAAGCCCAGAATGGAATTGGCCTTTTTTGTGATGTTATCAATATGAGTACTCCACTTTAGATCAGAAGTAATGGTGACCCCAAGATATTTAGCCTCTGTCACATGCTCCAACTCGTGACCATGTAGTATGTAGGGTGACAGATGGGGTGTCTATTGTGACAGGGAGGACCTGGCATTTCTCAGGATGGAAAGCCATCCTCCATTTAGTTTCCCAAAGCGCCAGTTTATCAAGATCTCTTTGCAGGGTGTGCGCGTCTATCTGAGATGTTACTGTCAGATACATGATGGTATCATCTGCAAAGAGTCTGATAGAAGAGGTTATACTCGCAGTGATATCATTGATGTAGTATAAGAAAAAGACTCGGCCCGAGGACCGAGTCTTGGGGGACACACTGGATGCTTACCGATAATAATAATCCTCTTCCTTTAAATCTTTGGTCCGCTACATATGAAATGTTCCATTTCTTTCGCAATAGCAAATGTGAGCGGAAAGTCACAAAGCTTGTCATAACAAACGAGAAATTATGAATGTGAACTTTCAGTTTCAGTCTTCTCCACCATCCATTGGCTGCGACTATGAAAACGAAAAGAAAAATAAACTAAGCAAATACAGTGGCAAAAATGGCAGTACATAGATAACGTCCAAGTGAACAACTTATTTACCTTTGATAAGAAAACCCTTAGGGAGCAGCAGACTCAAGTTCTAACGGTTTTCACATTTCGGTTGTTACCGCATGGTGCAATGTAGCGAAACGTACCTTCGGCAAGGAAGACGGAATCAAGGGACGTCACTCTAAGCAGCAGATCATGATTGAATAAAAACCGCCAGCAATGGCAAGTCATGCAGAATGTCCCTGTTATGGGTTTGGTTTGGCAGAATGTGTTGTCAAGTGTCCAAATTAGGCATAACACTGGTGAAAGTAGTTTTGATAGTCTGTTTCAATAAAACACGATGTCACCAGGGAGGCTGAACAAGGCCAGAGACATATATATATATATATAAAGCCAGTAGCATAGTCTATTATATATATGTCTCTGCTCTGACCAGGCCGCACAGGTTGTTTGGTTTTTTTTACTCGAAATTCTGACTGTAAATATTGTAATAATCATATAAAAAATAAGGATAATACCTTATCTTTTTTAACCAGGCTAGGGTAACTTTGGTGTTATTTCGACCACTGTAGGGTAATTTCGATAACTTAATTTATATTCAGTGTAACTTGAATTCCAACTGACATATTAGCCGTATTTTAGTATATATATGCCTATTAATAATAGAAGGAAGTGAATATATTCGGTCCAGTTCAGAATTTCTGGCTGCGAGCCCAAATCATGTTGTAGATAAAGCATCATTGCCTCGCCTGTTTAATGGAGCATGGTCGGCAGGAATGACGCGGAGCGCCAATATTACAAAAGGATTCAAAGTTGGTGGTCCTTGAAACAGATTTTCTGCCGTCATCATTGTATGACACGACATCGATCTCTGAATCGGATCACGATCATCATGCCCCATCGGAAACTCCTGTAACCCAGAGACATATAAAGCCATTAATATACGTCTCTGAGATAAAGGTAACTAATTATAATGGCAGACAAGAGAAAACAGCTGTATTACCTTGGGTCAACATTACAAGGTATGGACTCAAATCTTTCTCCTACGAGGCCGCCCGGGTGTGGAACAGTCTCCCCAATCAACTCAGAAAAGTAGACAGGTACAATGAATTTAGGAGACTGATCCAGACCTGGGATGGCCCCATTTGCTCTTGTAATGTCTGCCGCAGTGTGTAGTACATGTACATGTGGCTAGTCCGCTTTGCTTCATGTTTAATTATGTGTGTGTTTTATGCTGCTTCTTCGGATTTGTGCGAATGTTTGCTCTTATTATTATTTTATTTATTTAATTTATTTTATTACTATGTTCCGTCTGTTTTACATGTTGTAAATGTGTTTTATATATAGTGCTGACAGTGGGAAATTGTAGTTCATAATGTCTGTTTTTATGTGTATGTGCTTTGCTTCAATGTTTTATGCTAATATGTATTTTATTGTAAAATTACTGTCCTGCTATATGTAAGCATGTATGTTTATTTAGCTTATAACTTTGCATGGAGACTTATGTCTTAACACTTTCTGTTAATGTTTCATAATTAATGTTTTATATATGTAATTTCTTGAATTGATGATTTTACTTATGTTTGTCGGAATAATAGCTTTTAATAGCTAATGTTAAATGTTTTAAAATATCCGACGTTAAACAAAGTTTATTGTATTGTATTGTCTCTGTGTAACCCTGGTCACAACAGCATCACCGGAAGTTGCAACATCAACGATGTCTATAACCACCCAAAAATTCGTCACCAATGAGTCAAACAATGCATTCCCTGTATCCCTGGAGGCAGATGTCCTGATGAGGGTATAGTACCCCTGTTACAGGCACTTATAAATGACAATGTTGCTGTCCAGGAAAAAGGCGAAAAGGAAAATCGAAATCTGTCGGACACTTTGTACAACAACATTGAAAACATGTTTAAAATGCTCACATCTGTGAAAAAAGTTAACGCAAAAAAAAGACTGTCACAAGCCATCGATTACTTACAAGCAAGAAATTATAAAAGGAAAACAGCTGGTAAAACAACTGAAAGAAGAAAAACTTCAGGCAAAGGAAATGAGACAGCAAAAGCGAAATCTGGATAAAAAGTCAAAGGAGGAGGAGGGGAAAATGACCAAGAATCGCCGTTTAAGAAAGAAAAACTTGCTTCTTTGATTGGAGGAGTACTGTACAGGCTATAATAATAAACTGGACTGGGCAATCTGTAATTTGTGTAAAGAGTGGATGCATTTAGAATGTATGCCAACTTCACTCGAAGTAAAAGTACCATTTAAATGTCATCTGTGTGACAAAGATACAAAATTATAAACGCAATATCGCGTCAGGAATACACAGGTTGAGCTGATTTTGAAGCGTTTTAACGAAGAAAAGTAAATACGCATACAAATCTCCTTCAAATCGATTAAGCAAGTTACTTTTTATCGAAATACTTGCATATTTGGCAGAATCTAAGCCCAAAGTCGCTATATAACAGATTGAGTTTTTTAAATGTATAACAGGTAATCTCTGTTTTCATAGGTTACTAAAAAGATTTTATTAAAAAAAATGGTGGTCGAAAATACCCTGGTGTGGTCGAAATTACCACAATACAGTTCCCCATATGATGGTCGAAATACCCCCTAACAATGACTTGCCTTAATGACTAAAATTCGTATATTTTGTGGAGCAATGAGTTTGGTGGACCGTTAGTTATACAACCCACATGACGTTCAAGAACGGTAACTCGTGTAGTATAAATGACATGGGGTCCAAAGGTGGTCGAAATGAGACCACCTTACCCTATTTGGCAAAGTAACTAGAAACTTGGCACCAGGTATCAATTTAATTGAATTATCCCCGTTTTATCCAGGAATTACTATATTATCAAGATAAAGAGACAGAAATAGTTTATAATTTGCAAATAACCAAAATCTGTTGTTGTTTTTTTAAATGACATGACGGCATTTTTGTCAAATACTTGGAGTCATAATATTATTTGATGATGTTTACCTTTGTGATGGCATGCTTTTCTTGAACAACGACATAATGACAATATTTACTAGAATAACAGACATTTGCAAACAGACATTATTTAACGTGTGTTTACGAGCTCTGGTGACCACTGTCATTATTAAACGTGTATTCTCGAACTCTTGTGTGACCACTGTCAATATTAAACAACGTGTATTCTCGAACTCTTGTGTGACCACTGTCATTATTTAACGTGTGTTTACGAGCTCTGGTGATCACTGTCATTATTCAACGTGTGTTCACGAGCTCTGGTGACCACTTTCAATATTAAACAACGTGTATTCTCGAACTCATGTGTGACCACTGTCATTATTTAACGTGTGTTCACGAGCTCTGGTGACCACTGTCATTATTTAACGTGTGTTTACGAGCTCTGGTGACCACTGTCATTATTTAACGTGCATTCACGAACTTTGGTGACCACTGTCATTATCAAATGTGTGTTTTGGAGCTCTGCATGGTGACCACTGTCATTATCAAATGTGTGATCACGAGCTCTGGTGACCACTATCCATATTGTACGTGTGTTGAAATCTGACCTTGGTTTCATTTTCCACGGGTGTTAATTTACAAGGTACGTAAAGGAAACAAACAGTGCTAGACATCGTGTATCCTGGTCTGATATGGAAAGTTTATGCTGTATGCGCAATGTTCGTCCTTTCTCCCATGTTACAGGTGTTAAATCATTCTACTATATCCGGTATGTATATGTGAGATTACGCTTTATATACTCACATGTATCTGATTTAATAAAACCACCTTAAAACTCCATGTGATTAATCAGGATAACAAACGTTAATACACCTGTAGTATAGCGTGAAGGTACCTGCCGCAAACATTATTTGTTATCAGGTGAGAAACTATATAGCTACACGGTGTTACATACGATTCAGTCTTCCGCCCTAAATTACATGAAAAGCAGCATCATAGAGCTGTTTTCTTCACCTTTAGAAAGTGAAACTAATACGAGTACGTGGAGATCACAAGCCGCCTCCTCGGCCTCACAACAGGGTTAGTTGTGTGTTGTCTTGTACCGAATCCATTGTCAGGACGTTTCCTTGGTATCCTCTTTTTACCCCCGGGAGAACTCGGTTCTTCTCCTCCCTGTCCCAAAGTGTTTCCGTCACCTATACCCCCCCCC